TCCGTGTGAGAGCAGCCCAGTGGGTTTTGCTCGTAGCGATTCAGGTTTGACTTCAGTAGTACAGCGACGATGGCTTATCCGAAGGAGGAGTAACCATGGAACAGTTTACTGCTTCCTTGCGAAACAATGAAGCTAATGACGTTTGATGTTTCAGGCAGTTAGGTACAGTCTATTGCGGTCCAGGATCAACAATCCAGATTAACAGCGGTTGCATACGCACGCGGCTCCCGCAGCCGATATAAGCCAGGTGCCTTCGACGGCGGAGACATGCCATCACTCACCTTACCCCCGATTGGTAGCATGGATAATCCGCTCCTCTCAATCACATCCTCAATCATCCTCAATCACCTCAACTCATTCTTAGTCATACTCATTTATTCTTATTCAATCACATTCATTCACCATTCACATTCATCCTTCAGTAATCAGCTGATTACTGTATCTCGTTTCTCATCTTGTCTACGGTCCGATGTCAGTAGTGGCGGATATTACCAAATGCGTTCTGTTTGCAACGCCATCGGTGGCATGTACCATTCCTCCCACAATGTATACGCAATGCGTACAATGCCGCTAAGCGGCCAACTTATGCTATGTATTCTGCTAAACCGCTATAGGCTTATCAGTTTTGTAGCCATTTATCACACTGGCCCTTACCCTTAGGCAATGGTGGCACCCATCGCTGCTCAAAGTTCACGTTGCTAACATAGCGTTATTCATGACCAGCCGCCTGACTGTGTTCCGTGATGACTCATCATTCACTGTCCATAGCACCGTCAACGCTCATGTAACTTACTGTCATCATCGATCCACTCCTCATCGCTATAATGTTGAAATCTTAGCTTGGCCGAAACAAGGCCAGTCTGTAACCCTCAACACCTCAGCATACTGTCTCCCTCAGCCGCCGCGCCGGCCGCTAATAGACGCGGCGCGGCATCGCTTACGGCTAAGCAAAGGCTACTTCGTTGTAATCTCATTATTATTGTTAATATTCCGTTAATGGTATAATAATGTTTGAATGCCATTGCCTCATTGTTTAGCCTCACTTCACTACAGGCCTTGGAACCTCAGAGCTCTAACTTGTGTCATTCCTCTACCATTACTTCTCTATCGTTACTATCACGTTATTAGTGTTGTATTTATGAATTAAAGGTTTAATTACCCAAATTTGAGGCTGGTAGATCGGCTACAGCAACTAAAAGACCAGCGTGGCTAATATTCTACATAAATCTGCACCGCCTCACTTCGCCGCTAACCATTTCGTCACAGCACCCATTACAGAAGAAATATGCGCAGCCCATCATTTAGCTTTCGGAATGTCTTCGTCGAGTGTTTGGAGTATTCGTCCAGTGTTCATTTAGCTGGTTAATGTCGTATATATGCTACCCTCTACTGTTGCTATTGTTCATGCTACTGTAATCATTCATGAGGCTTTCTACTCAGCGGCTTACACGCAAAAAATCAACGCGGCAGATACAGGGACTAATATTCCCCACGACATGGTATTCAAATAAAATCAGCTCAACGCTACAGCAGCGGGTTTGTGAAGAATTCTGACTATGTGACTATAGAATTCTGACACCGATCTTTCTGCAGTACGTTTGACATCCCGAGGAATCAGGTTACTAACGGCTGTTACCCATCGGTTGTCATTCACACGCATTACGTGTCTTACTCACCATATTTTCAACTGTTTGGAGTTTAGAACGGCATCTTTGATTTATGAACTATGGCGCAGGTCGGAGACTTGGAACCATTTCCTTAATTGTGTTAGACGACATACTGCTACCATCATTCTTTCGACGGTATTTCGATGACGCTAAGTGTTTTTTCATCCTCTTTATGTTGCGACTACTTCAATGACGCACACAATAAGGCAGGAAGTGCCGTAGTGTCGAAAAGTTGGGCACGGAGTTGAACGTTTTTGTCCTCTTCACTACATCCTCAATGTGTTCGAGAGCTTCTCAGGTCGCTCTTTTCCTTCTGCTCCTTCTTGAGCTTTTCTAGCTGATGGATGATGTTATAAGAACGATATCATCAGCAAAGCAAAGATGGCATAATTTCAGACTCAAACGACGAAGTCGGTGTAAAATTTCGTATATTTTCGAGCGATACTCTCAAAGTCTTTAACCACTACCGCGCTAAAAAGTTTAGTTCGAACCTTACAGCTGCACTAAAATCTGGTATGCGACAGGATCGAGAGCTAGTAAAATCGAAGACTATTAGGCTCTCAGATAGCGACAAGGGTGGAGAGTTTGTAGTAATTCCTCGCCAGTTAGATGTCGATATGATGGAAAAACATCTTGAAGACGCATCTCTTTATCGCGCATCTACTGAAAAGGAATTCAAAAGTCAAAATCGAAAACTGAACAGCGAATGGGCCAAAATGGCAAGCGCATCAGGTTTAAAACCAGCAAACATTTCGCATCTTAAGATCGAAGTGCCGACATATCCCGTCTCATACTCACATATCAAGACATATATGACTGTCTATGTAAAACGAAAAACTGCATAATTGGCAGTTCTCTTCACTACATCTTCGATGCTCTCGAAAGGTTCCCAAAGCCGCTCGTTTTCTTCTGCTCAGCACTGGAGCCAGTTCGCTCACCATATTCATTTTCCGACCTAGATAGATATAACTGGAGCATTCAGAGATATTCGTTCCGTTGAGCGTGAGTGGGGCATGCGAAACCAATCGGTTCTTCATGAACATCGTTTTTGTGAGATTCATTCGAAGACCTATCTTTCCACCGGCTTTATCAAAGTCGTCAAACATACGTTTCGCTTAGGTAATGTTTGGTGTTATAAGGACGATGTCATCAGCAAAGCGAAGATGGTGTAACTGTCAATCGTCGATTTTCACTCCTATATTATCCCATTCCAATGTTCGCATGACGTTTCGGAGGGTGGCTGTAAATAATTTTGGCGGGATGGCATCGTCTTTCCTTACTTCTCTTTTGACGTCAATGTTAGTATCGTTGTAGAATGGTGATATCTTTGTTGTGAAATTTCCGTACAGCTCACGAAGAATCTTTATGTACTGAGTAGGGACTCCTTGACTATCGAGGGCTTCCCAAACTGCTTCCATCTCAACCGAATCGAAGGTCTTCTGTAAATCGATGAAAGTGAGATGGAGCGGCCTTTTGAAATCTCGCGATTACTCACTAAGTCTTGTTAATGCGTAGATGTGGTCCGCGATGCCTAATCCTTTTCGAATCCCTGCTTACTCAAACAGCGGCCCTTCGTTCTATGTCAGCGCAGTTAAGTGTCTGACTCGAGTGAAAAGTCTCTAGACTGTAGGCAGCAAATAGCTAGGGCGATATTTGCCGATACTGTGGAGGTCACACTTCTTGAATATTACCACGTTCTTAATGGTCTTCCATTAAGTAGGAGACGTCCATACATTCGGACAGGTAATGTGTGAGGAGCTGAACCAGTGCGTTTATAAGGGCTGGTGGAAGGTTTTTCAAGTGTTCCAGTCTTATCCTCTCCGGACTTGATGCTGTTCGATTTTTCTCCAACGAAACGGCATGTCGGATTTCGGAACGGAGAACCGGTGATACAACTTATCCAAACTACTTTATTCAGCATGAGGGAAGGTGGACATGGCTAACGATAAGATCTGAATAGTGTTCGTGAACCATTTTCTCCATTGCCTTTCTGGACGCTGTAACTGTTCCTTCCGGGCTTCGGGGTGCAAGCATCTTGGTCGTGTAATTGGCAAAGCTTCGGTGTGCTTCGCAAATGCTTTTCCCAGCCTCTGCAGCTTCGACCATTACTGCTGCTCTTCTCTCTTTAAGATCTTCCTTTAGCGTCTGTCTGCATTGTTTTGCAAACTCGGCGCTAGTTCGCAGTTGCCTACAACTCGTGCAGTTCCACGCTGGCGTATCAGCTCGAGTGTTTCTAGAGTCAGACGTCTCCTGGTGACTTTCGAACTCTGAGCTTTCATAGCGCTAGCATAAAGATGTTGAACGAACCGATCGTATTCTTCATCGATGTTAACGACAACGGCATCTTCCCAACAGCCGACTAATAAATTGAATGAATCTCAGTTTATGGTGGTTCTGGAAGCTTGGTTTTGGAATTCGGCGGCTTTTTCTCCTTTCCGCGAGAAACAGAACCTTACACGAAGGAGGCGGTTGTCTAATCCCGTGTAGAATTTTGGAACAACAGCGAAATCGGTTAGGCAAAGCATTTTATTTACTATGATCTGGTCTATTTCTTTATGGTACTCTCTGTTGGGGGCGGCTCGTTGATATAGGAATACCAAGTAGTTAAGACGATTCGCTCAAAATTTGTTGCTCGCCTTTGTGTACGCCACGTGGCACTTCTTGTAGGTAGCAGTCACAATACCGAAAACCTCAAACTTGGGTAATCAAACCGTTTATCATAATTATACAACAATTATGGCATGACAATACAACTGTACAATTAATACAACAATGATACGGGCTGTGAGTAGGCGTAACCTGATCACTGGTGTTCAGGTTGCTTGTGACTGAAGAGATTGGGATAACGGTACAACTGTGTAATTAATGCAACGATGATATAGGTAATACAATAATGTGTGATATTTGGCGATATGTAAGCTGAGTGGGTAAAGATGGAATTGAGATGGTAACAAGTGATATTCGACGATATGTAAGCTGGGTGGATAAAGGCGGAATTGAAATGATAACAAGTGATACACTTGAAGGAATTAACGCGGACACTGGTGTTGGAGCACTAAGGAATTGAGGGACCGAAAGCAGACCGGTCGAACGCGGCTGAGATTTCAGGACCAGTCCTATGGGCTGCCTGTACTACATCTGAAGTGGGTGGTGCTTTGCTAGAGGAAACTGAAGTCGGCGTCCAGAGAGGGGTTGCATGTGGAATGGTGCAGGTGTCTGTTCGGAGACTTTTTTGGAACGACAGATGCTGAAAAGTGCATTCAGCTGGCTGCTGCTGATTTCCTTTCCAGCCACCTGCGAGGCAATTGCATGAAACGGTTGTTAAGAGATGATTTACCGAATGTGCAAGGATAGATGTATGACGATTACGAATAGATAGGTGTTGTAGAAGGCATAAGGTTGTAATTGTTCTACATAGAGAACATTCCAATATTTGTGGAGAATGTTCTCTATACTCTCCATTGGGAGACTCGCACTTCCAGCGCTGAGAGTGGGGGTTCTGGAATTGCGAGTTACCATGAATTGTCTTGGTCTCCATGATAAACACAGATAGCCGCTCACCCCTTTCGTTCCACTCAAATCCGTGGGTTCCAATGTAACTTCAGACCTTCTTCGTCCAATCTTAGCGTTGAAATCTCCATTGATAGTCTTGAAGACTGTGTGGTCTTCCCTGTTGAACTTCTCCAAGTCCATATAGAACGCTTCGACTACTCCTTCTTCATTGTTTGATGTCGGCACGTAAACCACGAAGATTGTCGAAGCCAGAATTGATCCACATGCTTTTAATCGTAAGCGTCCGATTCGGGTTGTTAGTTGTTCGAACAAGTCGATGTTGATGGACAAACTCGTGTTGATGAGAACGCCGACGCCCCAGACTCCTCTACTGCCGCGTTTTCCTAGGAACAGTTCTTTTCCGGTGTCACAGACGGCGTTGAAAGGCTGGCGTCTTCTCGTGTCGAGCAGGTCGATGACGTCGTGCCTTATCCTTCTTGCTTGCATGAGCATGTCTTCTATCGAGGACTCGGGTGCAAGTGTACGTGCATTGTAGGTACAGATCGTCACCATAGTTCTCTGTAATCCAGGCAGCTTCCATTGGTCCTGATATTTTAGCAGTCTCTCCGTACTCTTTCTACCCAACGCTGCGAAATTGAGGGCTATTTCGGGATCAGGGGAGTGAGGTTTCTCTTTTTCTACTGTGTTTAGCATTTTTGATACCCACGTATAGCTTTCTGGGCTCTGAACAGGTAGAGATCAGAGGGAAGAACCCTCGAAACTTGCGCGCCAAACAGCCATTTCAAATGGCTACGAAACTGTAGCTTCTCGGCAGAGACATAAAGGAAAACTCTCGCCCCGGAGCGATAATTCTAGCAAAAGCAAGGCTCCGTTCTTCTTGTCCTTTATTTAAAACGAAATAAGTGCAGCTATAAAACGTTTCTTAATAAGGGTCGGTCTAGAGAATTCCATAAAAGTGATAGAAATACCATCCGACAGTGTGAGACGCCAACTAGTTCGCAACCGCCTATATGACCGTCTGTGTACAACGAAAAACTGCATAATTTGCCCTAACGGTAGAGACGGTGACTGCATGAATTCGGGCGCAGTCTATCTGACCTCTTGTAAAGCGTGCGAGGACGAATACGTTGGCGAAATGGGTAGACTGCTCTGCGTCCGCATAAAAGAACACCTAGTCGCTAAATGTAAATTTAAACCAAGCACTCCACTAGGCGCGCATAGGGTGCGCGAACACAACGGAGAAGATTTTGAAGTAGGAGTCACTGTACTCACACAGGAATCGAAAACATCAGCGCGTAAAACTCTTGTAGCGTTTTGGATCAATTCCAAAAATTCAAAAATGAACCGCAAGGAGGAGTGTCTTTTCATCAAACGCGACCTCACGCCATATTTCAGGCTGATCCAATGACCTGACACAGACACATCGCCCATGTATTACTCTGTGCGGCTGCTATCCATCAACTCACTTAAATACTTACAACAAATAAACGGTTGGTGCTTAAATGAAGCTGTTTCTTATGCGAATACAAATTTATTTGTTAAGTTTTATCTGCTAGGGTTATGAAAGTGTTTGGCTGAGTAGATCGTATCTCAACTTGACCTTTCCAGACTCTGAAGGGAAAACCGCCAAAAGGTCAGCTATTGTATCCTAAAATTAGGAACCACCGATTTGCATTCCCATGATATCTCATACAACACGCTGCTCGCACAACATTCTCAACGGTGGTAGTAAATATTTTTTGTGAGAAGGTATATAGATTTAGAAGGCTTACATACTCAGCAGATACTCCCTGATTCTCCAGGGCTTCCATGATTGATTCTATCTCAACTGAAATAAAAGCAGTAGCTTCCAAAACCGACTTTCTATTAACCTCGGCACTAATTCAATAATTTAATATGTATTCTTTCTTGATAAGCTTGCACGAGGTTGATAAATATATTTATTTTCGGCTAACGTTTCGACGTCTTCGTCTTCCTCAGAGCCGGTGATCCGAGTCGACGGTCCATGCTTGTTGTTCGCCTCGACGTTGCGTCTTCGCCTTCCTGTCGAGCCAGATCTTCCTCAGCGAGCCATCTTCTCGAATGAGGCATCCTCACTCAGTGATGCCCTTTTATACACGATGCTGATGGTAGATATATAATGACAATGTCCGGTGGTAACAACTTGTATTTCTTCCGGACATACATCGACAGGAAGGCGAAGACGCAACGTCGAGGCGAACAACAAGCATGGACCGTCGACTCGGATCACCGGCTCTGAGGAAGACGAAGACGTCGAAACGTTAGCCGAAAATAAATATATTTATCAACCTCGTGCAAGCTTATCAAGAAAGAATACATATTGATTTGTCACACCGAGGTTTAGGGAAGGTCGGTTTCGAAAAATTCAATAATTGTTTATATTTCTATTTAGGAAACATTTTTTTGTTTAGTGATGTTTTATTTCTTTATTTACGCACAAGCTGACGTTTCGGCGGATTTCGCCTTCCTCAGAGTTAGGATGGGTCAAGTTGGCGCAATCTACCAAGCGAAACACCTTCATAACCGATTAAAGAAAATGCTAAGCCAAAATATCAATCACATTAAACACAGTGTAACTTCTTTGCACACTCACCGCTCTCTATGAGCCTTCCACTGAATATGTCACATGTAGACTAATCACACAGACTTCTCATAGAATGGTAATGTGCCCACCCCGTTACAACAACAGGCTTACATACTGCCCAATGTCAAGCGTGATTATGAGGCGTTCCTCCCTGCCGTTGATTTCCGGATTCTCGGAATTAATCCTGAATGCTTCGAGAGTTCTGCGCGCTTGTGTTTTTGATTTCTCTTCAAGGGTCGTAACGTTACTTTCGTAGCCATTAAAAATGCCTTTTTCCCACGCGAAGTTCTGTGACACCTTCCTCTGCTCTCTTCTTGTGCACACGCTGTTGGTTATTCGAGAGATGTTTCTCAAAAGCGCTCTTCTCGTATGAGAGGAGTGTGAGGGGAGGTGATGAACCAAGGTCTCTTCACTACTTGGCTTTCGGTACAACTTCGCAATGTAGGGGCTTTCTGATGGACTAATTTGAAGTTGGGCATCATATCTTTCTGCGAGGCTCTTTGCGAAGAACTCTGACCATGTGCTCGATGATCTTCCTGCAGTACGTTTGACATCACGAAGAATCCAGCCGCTAACGGCTCTTTTCCATCGGTTGTCTTTCATACGCATTGCGTGTCCAGCCCTCCGTATCTTCGATTGTTTGGCGTACAGAACGGCATCTTTGATTTTTGATCGCAGACGCAGATCGGAGCCTCGGATCTCGTCCCTTACTTGTGAGAAACAGGATACTCCTACCATCGTCCTTCCGACTGCGCGTTCGATAACGCTGAGTGACCTTTTATCCTGCTCACGCAGCGACCAGGTTTCAGACGCATACGTTAGGGCAGGAAGTACCGTTAAATCGAAAGGTTGGCACGGAGTCGGGTGTTCTTCGTTCGCCTCACTACATCCTCGATGATCTTGAAAGTTCTCTAAGCCGCTCGTTTCTTTCTGCTCCACTCTGGAGCATCTCTGGCTAATAGTTGATGTCATAAGAACGATACCATCAGCAAGGCAAAGATGAGATAATTACGGACCATCGATTTTCATACCCATCTTATCTCAAAGCACTCGGTGTTCGCACCACAACTTCAACGGTGGCAGTAAATAATTTTTGGGAGAAGCTGTAGACTTGCCAAACCCGTCTTTCGGCGTCGATGTCAATAGCGTTGTATAAGGGTGTTGTTTTGGTTTTGAAATGATCACACTAATCTTTGTATGCTCAGCAAGGACTCCCTGACTGTTCAGGGTTTCCATGTTTGGTTTTATCTCAACTGAGGAAAAAGCAAAAACTCGCGTAACCGACTTTCTGTTTACCTCAGCATTGATTGAATAATTCTTTATATTTCTGCTAAGGAAGTACAAGGTGTTATTTTATTTTTTCATTTACGCTAATGCTGACGTTTCGGCGGACTTCGCCTTTCTCAGAGCCTGGAAAGGTCAACTTAACTGCAATCTGCACGGGCAAACACCTCCATAACCGATTAAAGAAAATACTAAACTAAAATTTCAATCACATTGAACACAGTGTAACTTCTTTGCACACTCACTGCTCTCTATGAGCCTTCCACGGATTATGTCACATGGAGACCGATCACGCAGAATTCACATAGAATAGTAATGTTTCCATCCCGTCAGGTTAACAGACTTGTATACTACTCAATATCACGTGTGATTATGAGGAATTCCTCACTGCGGTTGATTTTCGGATTCTCGGAATTAATCCGGAGTGCTTCAAGAGTTTTGCGCGCTTGTGTTTTCGATTCCTATGCGAGGATGGTGACCCCTACTTTGAAATCTTCCTCGTTGTGTCTCTGCGTCTTATGCGCGCCTGTGGAGTATTTGGTTTAAGTTTACCGACCAGGTGTTTTTTATATGGGCACGGAGTGGTCTACCCGTTTCGCCAATGTGTTCGTAACTGCACGCTTTATAAGAGAAGGGATAAACTGTACCCAAGCTCATGCAATCACTATCTCTACCATTAGGGCAAATTATGCAATTTTGCGTTGCACATAGACGGTCATATAGACGGTTATGAACTAGCTGGCGTCTTAGATTACTCGGTGATATTCCGATTATTCTTATTGAATTCTCTAGACCGGCTCTTGTTATGCAGCTTTTTATAGCTGCGCTTACTTTATTTGAAACGAAGGGTAGGGATAAACGAGAGCTTATTGTCGCTAGAGTTATCGTTTAGGGGCTTGGGGCTTCCTATATACCTATCCCGAGCTACAGTTACGTAACCGTTAAGGTGTTGGCTATTCGAGATATGTTTCTCACAAGCGCCCGAGAGGAGAGGTGTTGAACCAAATAATTTTACTACTTAGCTTTCGTTACCACTTCGTAATGTGGCCGCTTTCTGATCTGGTAATTTGACCATCAGGAATGGGAGCCAGTCTCCATTCCTTTCCCCTCGGATGATGTTAATGCACTCCGACTGTCCATTCAACACCTCGAATCATTTGGCAATTTTCTTTTGTGTTGACCGTAATCACACTTTATACAAACGTGTCGAATGACTCTGCTATACATGCTCCTTATACACCACAAAAGAGCGATGGACATGTATAGCTTCTTGATTCAGCAGTTCTTGACACTTTTAAAGTAGTCCCTTAACTCCGAATCTTCAGATGTTACGTAAAGTATTACGCTCATTGAACTTTGCAGACTTTGAGTGAGGCCAAGCCTACCGAAACGTCAGCTTGTGCGTAAATAAAGAAATAAAATAATACCTGGTGTTTGCTAAACGGAAATATAAAGAATGGGTCAGAATCTTTATCTAAATCAACGGAAGTGAGACAGAGCGGTCTTTTGTACTCTCACGATGGTGGGGTGAGCCTTGTTATCGTGTGGATGTGGTCCATTGTGCCGAATCTTTTTCGGAATCGCCTGATCACATAGGTGTTCATCGCCCTGTGTTCCGTCAATCCTGATTAGCCTGACTAGAGCGAAAAGTTTGTAGACGAAGGGCAACAAGCATATTGGGCGATAGCTGATATCGTGGAGGTCACCCTTCTTGTACAGCCTTGCTGGTCCTTCATTGAGTGGGAAGTCTGCATCCATACAGATACCGAGTGAGGATCCAAGCCAGCGTGTGTACGAGAAACGAAGAATGGTTATTAAATTGTTCAGATCTTATTCTTTCTGGATCTAGTGTTGTTCGATTCTTCGCCGAAAAAGTGGCATGCCTGATTTCGGTTGAAGGAACAGGTTCTGCAACATATCCATTATCACTTATTTCAAATGTGGGCGGAAGAACATGCTTGTTGAAAGGATATGAGTAATATTCGTGAATGATTTTCTTCATAACTTTTTTGGACGCTGTTACTGTTCTGTCTAGGCGTCGTAATGAAGTCATTTTCGTTTTGTAATTGGCGAAGCCTCGTTCTATTTGGAAATGCTGTGGTCAGCCTCTCCTAGTTTTACCATAACTGCTGCTCTTCTTTTTTTATGGTCTTCTTTTGCAGCATTCCTGCATGCCCAGATTCGATCTACGGCCTGTATAGGCAGATGCATGCAGCTCGTGCCATTCCACGCTGGCGTATCAGCTTGAGTGTATAGAGAACATTCTTCACGAATATTGGAATGTTCTCTAAGTAGAACAATTATAACCTTATGCCTTCTACAACACCTGTCTATTCGTAATCGTCATACATCTATTCTTGCACATTCGATAAATCATCTCTTAACAACCGTTTCCTGCAATTGCCTCGCAGGTGGCTGGAAAGGGAATCAGCAGCAGTCAGCTGAATGCACTTTTCAACATCTGCGGTTCCAAAATGTCTCCGAACAGACACCTGCACCCTTCCACATGCAACCCCTCTCCAGACGCCGCCTTTAGTTCTCTCTGGCAAAGCTCCACCCACTACAGATGTAATACAGGCAGCCTATGGGACTGGTCCTGAAATCTTAGCCGCGTTCGACCGGTCTGCTTCCGGTCCCTCAATTCCTCAGTGCTCCAACACCAGTGTCCGCGTTAATTCCTCCAAGTGTACCACTTGTTACCATCTCAATTCCGCCTTTATCCACCCAGCTTACATATCGCCAAATATCACACATTATTGTATCATCGTTGCATTAATCATACAGTTGTACCGTTATGCCAATCTCTTCACTCACAAGCAGCCCGAATATCAGTGACCAGGCTGCATTTATTCATTACCCGTATCATCGTTGCATTAATTACACAGTTGTACTGTTATTCCAACCTCTTCATTCATAAGCAACCTGAACACCAGTGTTTAGGCTACGCCTACTCATAACCCGTTTCATTGTTGCATTATCTGTAAAGTTGTATTGCTATGATTGTTGTATAATTATAATAAACGTTTTAATTACCCAAGTTTGAGGTTTCCGGCATTGTGACTGCTACTTACAAGAAGTCCCGCGTGGCGTACACAAAGGCGAGCAACAGTTTCCAACCGAATCGTCTTAATTACTTGGTATTTCTATATCAACGAGCCGTCCCAACAGAGTGTTTCTGGAGACAGGCGTCTCCTGGTAACTTTCGAACTCTCAGCTTTCATAGCGCTAATGTGAAGATGTTGAATGGGCCGATCGTATTCTTCGTCGATGTTATCGACAAGAGCATCTTTCCATCAGCCAACTAATGAATTGAATAAACCCCAGTTTGTGGTGGTTTTCGGATTTCGTTTTTTGAATCTATCTGCTTTTGTACTTTCCGAGAGAAAAGAAATCCTGCACGAAGGAGGCGATAGTGTGGTCCCCTATAGAATTTTGGGACAACAACAAAACCGGTAAGGCAAAAGCTCGCATTTACTATGATGTGGTCTATTTCGTTATGGTACTCTCCATTGGAAGACTCCCACGTCCAGCGTTGAGGGTGGGGTTTCTGGAATCGCAAGTTACCATAGATGGTCTTGGTCATCATCATAAACTCAGGTATCCGCTGACTTTTGATGAGAGCCCTAGCAAATCTTCCACTTTTCACTGCCGCGTGTAGGAGTAGCCCAGTGGGTTCAGCTCGCTCTTGGGACTCGTAGAGCATCACTTCTCTCTTCTAGACTTTTCATAAAAAACTTTGACTAGCAAGTCGGTGTTCCTTCTACAGTGCGCTTGACATCCCAAGGAATCCAGTCACTGAAGACTCTTGCCCATCGATTCTCGTTCATAAGTATCACGTAATAATGCTGAGATATTTGCAAAACTCCAGTCCGCAGGTGTCTGCGGTGGAGAACGAACGCGCTATTATCCCTTTCGGGAGCTAACGTGTCCACCCCCACACTATGCGGGTCCTTCGTCTAGCCTGTCCCCCAGCTAGTTCTATCGATCTGTGCCGTCAACAATCACTCGTCAGCGAGACTGATCGGGTGAACTCAAATCGGCAATGAACCCAGTTAAGCTGAGGCTGCAGTTATAATCACAATTTAGCTTATTACTCACCACCTACTCTTTCTAATAGCAGGGAATGTTGCGAGATATAGTCTCAATAATGCTGAGGTATTTGCAACTACGGCCTTGGCCGATTTGCGCTCCCCAGATCTGTCCCGCTCACCGGTGATTGCTGATGGCACTGATCGATAGAACAAACTGAGAAAATGGCTCGCACACTGTGGTAGTGAACGCGTTAGCCCACGGAAAGGGTAATAATGCGTTCGTTCCTCACCGCAGAAACCTGCGGCCTGGAGTCTTCCAAATATCTCAGCATTACTGAAGTTATACTTCGCAAAATGCCCTGCCATTTAGAGGAGTAGGCGGTAAATAATAAGTTTGACATTTTTGATACTTGATCGAAGATGTAGGTCGGAGCTTTGGAACCCCTCTTTTAGCTGTGCAAATTGGAGTACTCCTAGCATCGTCCTTTCGACTACGCGTTCAACAACACTGAGGAACCTTTCATCCTGCCTACGCAGCGACCAGGTTTCTGAGGCACAAGTTAAGACAGGGATTACCGTCGAGTCTAAAAGGTGGCCAAGAAGTCGAATGTTCTTTGTTTTCTTCGCTATATCGTTGATGCTATTGAAAGCTCCCCAGTCCGCTTGTTCCCTTCTGCTCATCTCTGCAGCTAAGTCGTCCATCATATTGATTTCCCGACCTAGATGGACATAACTGAGGCATTCGGAGATATTCGTCCCGTTGAGCGTGAATTGGGCACACGACTGCAATCCGTTCATCACCAACATCGTTTTTGTGAGATTTAGTCGAAGACCAATCTTCCCACAAGCTTTATCAAAGTCGGCCAGCATTCGTTCCGCTTGGCGAAACTTTAGTTTTATAAGGACGATGTCATCAGCAAAACGAAGATGGTGTAGTTGCCGACCATCAATTTGCACTCGCATGCTATTCCACACCAATACTCGCATGGCGCTTTCGAGTGCTTCAGTACCTTATTTTGACGAGATGGTATCGCCTTGCCTAACTTCTCTTTTGACGTCGTTGTTGACATCGTTGCAGAGTGTTAATATCTTGGGTGTGAAATCTTTTTATAGCTCACGAAGAATCTCTATATACTGCTTCCATGTCAATTAAGTAAAGGAAACCTTGCTTGCTCACATGGGTACCCTTCGTCCAGTGTTCTGTCAATTCCGTTAGGGATGACTCGAGCAGAAAGTTTATAATCGACAGAGAGCAAGCAGGTTGGGCGATAGCTGCCGATGTCGTGGAGGTCATCCTTCTTGAACATCAGCGCGATCTTGCTGGTTTTCCACTGAGTAGGGACCTCGCATTCAGAGTGAAGAGTGAAGAGTGAAGAGCCGAGCCAGTGTGTTTATGAGGACACGTTGTTTGTTCTCCGAGTGAATCGATGTTCATGGACAAACTCGTGATGACGAGAACGCCGACGCCGCCGACTACTATCGTCCCCTGCTGACGCATGTTCCGAGGAACAGTTGCTCTTCGGTGTGATAAACGGGTTGATTGGGTAGCACCGCCCCGTCTCGGCTTGGCTTGTCACGTTGTACGTTATCCTCCTCGCTTGAATGATGAAGTCTTCTATCAAGGTCGGATGCGAGTGTGCGCGCGTTGTAGGTACAGATCGTCACCATAGTTCTTTATAATCCAGGCAGATTCCATTTGCACTGAGATCTTGGCAGCCTCTCCTTGCTCGTCCTACCCAACGTTGCGAAGTTGGGGCTCTTTCGGGGCCAGGGGAACGAAGCCCGTTTTTTTTTTACTGTGTTCAGCATTTTTGATACCCACGTACAGCTTCCTGGGCTCTAAACGTGGAGCTGAGTATACTCACGGGTAGCTTGCCAGGCTCTCCCAGAGTGGACATGGAGCTTATTTGTTGGAGGCGACTCCAAACTGCCTCCCATATACTTCCCAGTCACTTGATTGCTGGCTTTTGGCCGAATTGACTCGTAGAATACAATCCGCATAAGCAAGAACGCACCTACCCATGCATGCATGAATACGCCTAGCAAATACAAAAAGTATATGTCAAATCAGCGCAGCAGAAACATGCAGTCTATCCCCTGGATCCACCTGCGTCTCAGGGAAGCAAAGGTCGCTTTTGTTCCTCGACGAAGCCCCTTTCCGCCACCTGGGGACATGCCAGGTAGCCTCGCGACAAACCGGAAACTATGCTTTAGCCGTACATTTAAAAAAGACCTGCAACCCAGGTATCCAAGCGTCCAAGTATCCTAAAATTCTGTCTCTCAATAGTTTCTTCTTGGCAAATTGCGACGTAAATATATGAATACTTTTTCCAAATATGAACTTTAAGTATTTTTTGCACCATTTTTCATGAATGAGTCATTCAGTCGACCAATAAGGCTAACACTAACCATTTATCACTTTAAAAACTCTAGTTAATTTTTAAATGATTATGTCAAGTGAACACATTTATCGCTTACTTTTTTACCACGACCAACTTTCTTTTAACCTCGGCATTGATTGATAATTCGATGTTTTTCTTCAATAAGCAGGCACGAGGTTGTTATTATAGGATTTATTAGGATGCAATAGCTGACGTTTCGGCGGTTTCGCCTTCTTCAGAGCCTGGAAAGGTCAAATTGAGATGCGATCTACTCAGCCAAACACTTTCATAACCCCAGCAGATAAAACTTAACAAATAAATTTGTATTCGCATAAGAAACAGCTTCATTTATAAACCTACCGTTTATTTGTTGTAAGTATTTTAGTTGGTGGATAGCCGCCGCACAGAGTAATACATGGTCGATAACTGTGTCTGTGTCAGGTCATTGGATCAGCCAGAAATATGGCGTCAGGTCGCGTTTGATGACAAGACACTACTCATTGCGGTTCATTTTTGAATTTTTGGAATTGACCCAAAACGCTTCGAGAGTTTTACGCGCTGATGTTTTCGATTCTTGCGTGAGTACAGTGACTCCTACTTCAAAATCTTCTCCGTTGTGTTCCTCCATTCTATGCATCTAGCGGAGTGTTTAGTTTCAATTTACATTTACCGACTAGATGTTCTTTTATGCGGACGCAGAGCAGTCTACCCATTTCGCCAACGTATTCGTCCCCGCACGCTTTACAAGAGGTCAGATAGACTGCGCCCGAATTCATGCAATCGCCGTCTCTATCGTTAGGGCAAATTATGCAGTTTTTCGTTATATATAGACGGTCAAATGAGCGGTTGCGAACTAGCTGGCGTCTTACAGTGTCGGATGGTATTTCTATCACTCTTATGGAATTCTCTAGACCGGCCCTTATTAAGAAACGTTTCATAGCTGCACTTATTTCGTTTTAAATAAAGGGCAAGAGGAACGGAGTCTTGTTTTCTCTAGAACTATCGCTCTGGGGCGTGGGTTTTCCTCTATGCCTATGCCGAAAAGCTACAGTTTCGTAACCATTTGAAATGGCTATGTGGCGCGCCAGTTTCGAGGATTCTTCTCTCTGACCTCTACCTGTGCACACGCTGGTGGCGGTTCGAAACATATTTCTTATGAGCGCCCTTTTAGTGAGTGAAGAATGTGAGGAGAGGTAATGAACCACTATATTCTTACTGCTTGGCTTTCGATACCATTTTGTGTTGTAGCCGTCTTTGGATAGGCTGATTTGAACGTTTAGAAATGGAAGCCGGTTTTTTTCGGTTTCTCGCGGGTGAATTTTATGTACTCTAACTGTTCGTTCAATAACTCAAAGCATTTGTCCATCTCCTCTTGTGTGGAGCAGATGACAAAACAATCGTCTATATGCCTACAGTAGAGCAATGCCCTGAGATCGATTACTAGTGCTTCCACTTTAGACTTAAAGGCAACGGCAAGGGTTGGTGCCAGTCGCTGTTCCATTGCGAACCCTCTAATTTGTGCGCAATATTTCCCGGACCATCCGATAATGGAACAGTTTAAACAGACCTTTAGGATGACCGTAAGCTGCTGAATCGAAATGTCATACATGTTAATTGCCCCTTCGTGTTGCTCAAGAAGCTCTCGGATGGCTTGCATTGCGGAGTCGTTCGACACGTCAGTGTAAAGGGCGGCAACGTCAAACGACTCCATAAAGTGCGCGCTTTTGCGACGTGCGTTGCGCATACGGTCTAGAAACATTTGAGTGTTCGTGAGATGGGCTAGTATGTGCTTGAGCAACTGTTTGAGGATTAGATTTATAAACCAAGCAATTCTATCTGTAGGCCCGTCCATAACTGATGATGGGTCTGACTTTAAAGATGGAGAGGTCGGCAGACGCCAGATCATCAGCGCGTATTAACTTATGGGTCTTGATAAGTAAGTATAGGACGGGACATGTCGGCACTTCGATCTTTAGATGCGAAATGTCTGCTGGTTTTAAACCTGCTGTGCTTGCCATTTTGACCCATTCGTTGTTCAGTTTTCTATTTGACTTTTGAATTCCTTTGCAGTAGATGCGCGATAAAGAGATGCGTCTTCAAGATGCTTATCCATTATATCGACATCTAACTGGTTAGGAATTACTACAAACTCTCCACCCTTATCGCTATCTGAGAGCCTAATAGTCTTCGATTTTACTAGCTCTCGATCCTGTCGCATACCAGATTTTAGTGCAGCTGTAAGGTTCGAACTAAATTTTTTCGCGCGATTTTGGACTTTGAGTGTTTAGTCGAAAATATACGAAATTTTATGGAGGTTGTGGTAGTGCCCCTACTTCTCGTTGTTTCTTTTTATTTCGTGTCTCAATTCTACCGTTGCTTCAGAGTCGATCTTAGAGCTCGTGCAGTCTGCACGCGATCCCACTCAAGGTTTCTTTGGAAATGGGTTGCGCTGGTGAGAAACTTGGACCCAATTCTAATAGCGAGCGCGCATCATCAGGCAGAGTTATGCCTCCTAACGCGAATAAAAATTTACTTGTTAAGTTTTATCTGATAGAGTTATGAAAGTGTTTGGCTGGGTAAATCGCATCTCAATTTGACCTTCCCAGGCTCTGAAGAAGACGAAACCGCCGGAACGTCAGCTATTGTATTCTAATAAATCCTTTAATAACAACCTCGTGTCTGCTTATTGAAGAAAAACATCGAATTACTTGTTTACCATCTTTATGAAGTTTAAATGGGTACGTTTACGTGAATATATAGGCTATTCTCAGACTTTACAGCTGCACTACCCTCTTAGATGACGGTCGCAAATGCTGAAAAGACGTTCGTCCTAAATAAACCCGATCAGTACTTTCGAAGCGTCCTGTTCACTACGCCTTGCCACCCGCATCTTTTTCGACCAATTCGCCGTGATGATGTTTGCAGTTTACGGAAATATTTTTTGTGGAGACTTAGTTGTACGAAAAATGAATGCAATTCTGACCGAGAAGGTTTCTGGAATTATCAAAAGCGTGGAGATATTGGCAATGACATTCGCTATCAAGTCTAGCCTATAATAAGAATTCGCCATTCGCATGCATAAAGCACTGCCCGTGTTGCCGACGACAACGCAGTGTGGCGTCGCCATGCAGGCAGCAAGTATAATTAATGTATCGAAACCGACTTTCTCTGAGCCTCGGTATCACTAATCAATATGTATTCTTTCTTTGATGAGCTTACACGAGGTTGATAATGATGACAACACCGACTTCTGCGCGATGTGCGCAATGATGTATGTCCGGAAGAAAAACAAGTTGTTATCACCGGACATTTTCATTATATCGACCATCAGCATCGTGTATAAAAGGGCATCACTGAGTAGGGATGCCTCATTCGAGGAGATGGCTCACTGAAGAAGACCTAACTCGACACGAAGGCGAAGCTGCCACGTCGAGGCGAATAACAAGCGAGGACCATCGACTCGGATCATCGGCTCTGAGAAAGACGAAGACGTCGAAACGTTAGCCGAAAATAAACATCATTATCAACCTCGTGTAAGCTCATCGAAGCAAGAATACATATAATTAATGCTTTTAGTTAACCCTTTTTTCTATGAAAAGTTGGGCA